ACAGCCAAAGAAGGAACAGGAGGTGAGGATTCTGGTACCGGGACTCCAGAAGAATGGGTATGGGAAGGCATGCTAAATTTCACCAACCGGTACGCCCATACAGGTCCATACCAGCTGAAACCTACTCCAGTTACTGGTTCTCTGAACTACTCTAAAGTTCCACTACCAGTTCTCCAGAACTGGTCAGAACTTGTTGAATACCACCTCTGGATCAATTCCCTTGTACAAAACAGCTTGCAATTTATCTCATTGATTTTCCAATGATTAATTGATTTATTAAATTGGCTGATAATGACAAAGTAACATGAAATTATAAGAGAACATATGAATGCTTATATGAGAACAAAATATGATTTGTTAAATTTATTAATATTTGGTAAATATATTTGCTAACTATATCACCATTGAGCTATTCTAAGCAGCTTATAGCAATTGACAGAATGGAAAATGAAAAAAAGCATAAGGAGAACAGAAGTATAGTAATAGAACAGTAAAATAAACAATGACAAAAGAACACAACAAGAATAATACATCAATATGATCACAAAAAAATGGATGGGTGGAGAGCCAGTGGGGGAAGGTGGAGTCTGCCATCAATCTAGAAATTATATATTCAAATATGTTCATGTAAAACTAACACTAAAATATTTTTACATCATCTATTCTGCATGTCCTAAAGAGTCTTTTCAGGAGATTTCATCTGTGTTTAAATATTAATGGTTAAATGTTTAAGCAGAGACTAAATTTTTTTTTTCTGAGATGCTATAACAACATTCTGCATTTGATACTTTACACTGAGCATAAAGCTGAGCAAGGCAGTTTCCAAATCCTTTCCAATTTTGTAAACCTGTAATTTTATGGTCCTGTATGTATAAAGCTCAGGGTTTCATAAAGCCATCACTGATTGTATGAACTTTAGGGAAGCTATGACTCAGTGCAAGTTGTGTTGCAATAGATTTATTCTTTAATGAGTCTTTTCGTTTTTTCTGCATTACTCCTACTACTACTACATATGTGATGGCATGTCTTTTACTTTTACAGCTGTCTTCATTCTGTTGCTTTGAAGAATCCCCAGTTCAAGATTTACAATTCTTTTGCCACCTAAAATAATAAAGATCAAATGTCCATCCAGTTTCTAGGCCCAAATTATGCCTCAAAGAGCAATCCCTCAGAGAAAGTACAGACAATACTATCCATGCTTATTCTATGTCCAACATCTGGAAATAAGCTACAGGAGTTCCCCTGAATACAGGTAGTACTTGAGATACAACAAGCCATTTAATGAATGCTCCAAATTACGTACAACAGACCATCCAAAAGCTACGTAGGACCTGATTTCAAAGTTATGACAGCTGCAGTGGTTCTGCAATCGTTTGTCCTTACAATCTAGCACAGGATTGCTGCAATACCCATTGCCTCTTTTTACCCATTCCCACTCACTGCAACCCTACAACACCAGGACTTACCCCCACCCTCACCACACACCCATCATATCTCATACTTAACTTTTCAAACATGATGTCCAAGCTCCTTGGACTTCATGTTGTAGAAGAAGGGCAGATCACATGGCCCCAGTATGCACAAGAGCGTTCTAAATGCGCTTCATTTTGCTGCCTTAGAGAGGCCTGCACAGTGCTGTAGGAAGCTTCTGAATGTAGAAACTTTCTGCAGAATTGTGCAGACTTTGATAATGCAGCAGAATGGGCTTCATGGCAGTTACCCAAATGTGGCTGCCGCTTTTGTGGAACAATGTGGCCGCACAAAGAAGGAAGTTATTCCAGTGCCCTGGAAAGCTTTAGAGTTCTTCAGAAATTGAGGAGAAAGATGTTTGGTCTGATGGGGTGTGAATCAGGCATAAGGCCTGGGAGGACTCAGTGGTAATGGGAAAAGACCTGCTGGAACCCAAGGTGGGGGAAGTGGAACAAAGGGCATTTGGGAAGTGAGGAGGCCATAGGTGGGCCAGGGCCTTTATTAGGCCTCCAATCCCACCCAGGAAGAACCCCATGTTCTGTTTAGCGACCTGCATTCCCCAATATTTCATTGGAAGGAGCAGGGATGGAGGGGGCATTAGGTGGGATGTTTCACCTAACAACTGACATGATATTCAACCATAATGGGCAGCCTCCATTATGGACATATCTCGACTATCTGTATAGAACTCTCATACATAATAGCTACTACTGTTAGAGCATTTTTTTTCATGAGAGGTAACACATTTGGAGTACTGCATCATGTTTAGGATTTTAAAAAAGATGATGAACTAAAACATATTCAGAGAAGAATAACAAAGCTGGTTCTTCATACAGAAATAAGTTTTAGACACTAAATTAAAATTACTATTAGTAATTAATGATGGAGAGTCCCACAGAAAAGAATAAGAAAGGACTTTTTGCTACTACAGGAGACAGAAGCTGGATCTAATCTGATTAAAATTATAAGATGTTGGCCGTAGATGAGCATTAGTAAATTCACTTTGATAGTAAGAATAATTTGAATCCCTGATTCAATTTATTGAATTGTGGTGAGGCTGTGAAACAATTGTGGGGAGGCTGTGAAACAAATAGAAGAGAGCAGGAATAATCAAGAGACAGTAAGTAAGTCAGCTGGTATCTCATAAACAGAAACACAACCTATAGGAAGCTTGGAAAGAAGTGTTTTATTCAAAGAATCTTCACCTTATTTTAGCAGTTAGACTTATATACCGCTTCATAGGGCTTTCAGCCCTCTCTAAGCGGTTTTACAGAGTTCAGCATATTGCCCCCACAACAATCTGAGTCCTCATTTTATCCACCTCGGAAGGATGGAAGGCTGAGTCAACCCTGAGCCGGTTAGATTTGAACAGCCGAACTGCAGAACTGCAGTCAGCTGAAGTAGCCTGCAGTGCTGCATTTAACCACTGCGCCACCTTGGCTCTTTATTATTATTATGAATGAAGATCTCGAAATCCTAGAACAGCTTCCAAGATTCAGTATTTGCCCTAATGTAGGATTAAAGATAACTCAGTGAAGTCTTGCTTCCTTGATCTTGCACAGCTGCTTGGAGTTTGACACAATTATCTAAACAGAAAGAGGAACTTGGCCAACTTTCATGCTATTTTTCACCCAGTTTCAAAAGCCTCTGAAAAAGGTCAGTTTAATCTTCTAATAAAAATTGATTTAGCAAACAAGCTTTTCCTGGGTTGTGGGGAGGGGAGAAGAGAAAAACAAGGGATAGAAGAAAAATAATTCCAGGAAGAAAAATAATTTTGAGGAAAAAAGTGGGGCTTCATCCACTTGTGGCATTTAATAATTTATTAAATATCTCATATCTACCAATATGAGTCAGTCAGTCTCTCTCTCTCTCTCTCTCTCTCTCTCTCTCTCTCTCTCTCCCTCCCTCTCTCTCTCTCTCTCACACACACACACAGAGACACAGAGAGAAACAGAGAGAGACAGAGACTTACACTGACACTCACACGGTTTTATTCATATATTATTTTATTCAGTAAGTTATCCCTCACTAGAAGACTTAAAACGGAGATTGATGGATCAAACAGTGTTCTACAGTTTTCTTATTGTAAGGGATCTTAATTTTAAAACTGAAAGCATTGAAAACCTCTGAATAACACTCCCAAAAAGAATCTCTGAGTATATGTTGATCTAAACTTAAAAACTTTTAAGCTATGACAAATTTTCTAAAACAAAAAGAATGTCAGTTTGGTATTTGTAAAGATACATTATTTTAAAAGCTATTGTTAAGTATAATTTTCCAATGTCAAGCAAAAAAATGGTTTTCATTGGAAAGGTTTTGTTAGGAAGTTTTATAAGCCAGTTTCTTTTTAAATCAAAACTCAAATCAAATGAATCATGACTAATGAACAAGATCACGAACAGATTTTGGTGACCTGCCTGAAGAAAAAAGGATAACTCAAATGTTTTTCTGGAAAATAGTGGGCACGGCTGAGAACATAAAGAGAGAACATTTATTTATTGTTGAAGAGTTGAATTTTTTTCTTTGTTTTTCTACATATGTAGGTAGTCCTTGACTTACAGCCACAACTGAGCTCAATTTTTTTGTTGCTAAGTTAGATGTGTATTAAGTGAGTTTTGCCCCATTTTACAACTTTCTTTGCTACAATTAAGTAAATCAATGCAGTTGTTAAGTTAGTAACACAGTAGTTAAGTGAATTGGGCTTTGACTTTGCTTGTCAGAAGTTTACAAAAGGTGATCACATGACCTCAGGACAATGGTGGATTATGACAGGTACGCCCCGGTATGGGCGTACTGGTGCCTTCCGGGAGCACCAGGTACCGCTCCGGTACGGTGCATCGGAGGGCCCATCCATCCACCCGCACTCCTTACCAGTATTTGAAGTTTTTGGGGCTTCCGCATACGCAGCATACGGCACCTGCACGACGCTCGGCCGAGCAGCTGGAGTGTCCCAGAGGCATCGTGGAGCTTTGCGGGCAGTAAGTACACATGTGCACACTGCAAATGTTCAGTGATGGGCACCCGGCCCCGTTGCACCATACTGTAACTAGTGAGTTTATAAATCAAGCCAAAAATGTACAGCTAGTACTCTATGATCATGATTTACAGCATTAAAAAAAACAATGTTAATTTATTGTTTCCAGCAAAAAATATCCCATGGTAAACAATGGATTTGCTTAATGACTATGGTGTTTGCTTAATGACCATTGCGTTCACTTAATGACTCCTGCAAAAAAAGGTTTTAAAATCACATGTGACAGTTATGACTCTCATAACCTGCTTCTTAAATTGTGATCTCAATTACTGTCATAAATCAAGAACGACCTACAGTATATGGTGAAAAGGTAAAATCATATAGTTTGAGATTTGCAACATGAACCTGTCCTACTATGAAGGGCCTAGAAAAGCCATCTATCTATTTGTTATCTTCCTATCCATCTGTTCCCTTGACTAGGACAGATGTTTTCTCATACAAAAGTGGCACTTAAAAGTGTTATACAAAAGACTTCCCATAAGATCATTAGAATTACCTGTAATTCCCTGGGTTATTTACACATGTTGCTCCATTCTGGCATCCTAAGGATGTTCCTTCATAAACCTGGCATTCATTAACATCAACAGAACAATCTGGTCCCTGATAAGAGAAGCACAGTTTATTTTCCAAGTAAATCAGTGATTAAAATGTGTGCATCAATCCAATATATAATATAAAATTTCAAGGAATAAAGTAATGTTTCTTAATCTTGGCCAATTTGATATGTAAATTTCATCTCCAAGAATTCTTAAGCCAGCAGAATTCTGGCAGTCAAAATCCACACATTTTAAAGATGTCAAGGTGAAAAAAGACTGGTTTGGAATATCCAGCTTTCCACTGTAATGCTTCCTTTATAAACATAAGCATAAGCACCTTCCTTGTTCATTGAGGTACAGGGCATTTTCATTTAATTCAAAGCATAGGAATACTGTAAAAAAGCATAAAACTCTTTTAAAAATTAGCTCAGATACAGTTAGCCCTAAAAAAATTGATATTAGATATACTGAAAATATACCATATATAGGACCATTTGTGTGGTAATTAAGCTGCTGCTGCAACATTAGATGACTAATATATATTCCTAATTATTTTTTTTAAAAGGTTTGTCTGCACGAATTAAACTGTAATTTTGTACCTGGGGAAATCGATAATTTCTGCTCCCTCCTTCCATTTTTCCTAAACCGCCCTCTTCTGTATATTTTTCAACGAAGAATCATCACAACACAAACAAATGTAAGCAACTGAAAATTCTTGGGCTGGCTAGCATATGCATTTTCAATACCTAAGGATTCCATCACTAAGTAATTTCCTTCTAACTATCCTTGGTATACAGCACTTTTCAAAATAATCAGATTTTCAGATGTCAGGTATTAAATGCAAGGGAAGATTATGGAGCTCAATAGCAGAATACAAATTGGCATGCCAAAAATCCCACTTCAACTCCTGGCATCTCCAAGAAAAAGATCTCAAATGGCAAATGAACAGGAAGACCTCAGTCTAAAAATCTGGAGAAATAATTATTCAGACTAAGTTAAGGTATATGGCAATTAGTCTGGACCAAGACAAATTATGCCTGAGATCAAGGAGAGAATGTAGAAGCTGGCTAGAAGAGCAATGGAATTTCACAACCTGGATAATAGATGTTCTGCCTCCACTGCCTAAGGTGGATGAATAGATTGTGTAATTTGTAATTCTCTTAATATCTATGGCAACTTATAATTTTGCCTAGTCTGCCCTATTGACAAATATCTCCTGCACCATGTTATTCTGTTGCATGGCCATACAAGCTCTCTTTTAACTAGTTTCCAATTTCCTTTTATAAGATAGACTGATTCCACTGGAATGGCTCTTGTGTAGTGCAAAGTGTTGGTGCAAAGTGCATTTTATACATTGCAATACTAAGAACCTTACCTGCCAATTGTTGGGACAAAGACAAAAGAAAGCATCTAATAGGTTTATGCAGGTTCCAGAATTCTGGCAAGGGTTGCTATTACAGGCTTTTTTTAGGAAGGTCTGGAACAAAACATAAAACAAAAACAAAATCATTCTTTTAGCATTGTTACTTCTTGCAATTAATTAACCCGTAAGTACATAAAGAGTGTACATTATGTTACTCACCGTCTCAAGACTATGAAGTCGGTCTTCAATATTCACAATCTGCAGCAGAAAAAGTATGGCATATAGATTAGCATAAATCTATTTGTTGCCACCATAATATATTACTCTGTTCTGTCCAATTTCTAATTTTACTAAAGCACCTACATCCCATAGCACAAACTTTTTTGAAAATGCAAATTTTCTACGATATATTTATGTAACTTTTATGAATATTTTCAGATCGAATTCTAACTGACTTAGCGTACTATTTCAGCAGAATCTGCTTTGAGAATTTTAGTATTTCCAGAGTTTTAAAAAATACATTATATTTAAGAAAGATTTATTTTACTGCATTAATTGTAGGTGTTGATATTTCAAAATAATTAAATGGTCCATTCTCCTTTACTAAAGTTGAATCCAGAATAGGCTACGCAATCCTTTTAGCACTTCAGTGCCCATCAGATTCTACTTCCCCACCAACATGAGGTGTACTTCTTCATATTTAAAGTAGTACCGGTCCCAACCCCCATCCAATGGTTAAGACATGAACCCATTAACAAGCAATGAATTATTCTCTTTTCAAAATTTACAGTTAGTGGTAATTCAAACAATACATCTTTGTATTGTTAAAGTAAATGTATGTATGTATCTATCTACCTATCTACCTATCTACCTATCTACCTATCTACCTATCTATCTATCTATCTATCTATCTATCTATCTATCTATCTATCTATCTATCTATCTATCTACCTATCTATCTA